AGGTGGTGTCGGCCTCGTGCTTCGCGCGGTGTTGGGGAGTACCAGATGTCCGAGTATTTACGTAGTTCATGCCAGAAGGTGACGGCAATCTCCGTGCCTTCCTGGGTTTGGCGTGTTTGGAGGCTAGTTCGTCGTCCAATGCGGTAGCTGAGGGTGGGGGGTCGGTTATCCGGTTGAGTAAGGTGGTGTGGGATTACTAGCACGGCGTGAACCGGGATATGTAGAGTTTCGTAGCCCTGTGTGGGGACAAAATATGTGCGACCGAGGGTGTGTGTGAGGTATGGTAGGGACGTGCGATAAGGGTTTGGCTGTGGGGGAGGCAGGTGTTGGGTGGTAGGATGGGGCCCCCACTGTAGCGTTTGTTGCCGAAGTACCGGTGGGGCGGGTGGCTCAGCCTTGGGGATAGCGTCCCAAATGGGTGCAAACCGTTGGAGCGTGAGATTTGTCCATCCAAATTTCGTACGGAGGGACGGTAGGCTGAGCAGCATGGTGCCCTTGTCATTTGTGATGTCCCCCACCCAGCGTACCTTTTTGGCGTGGAGCTTGTTGATGGAGATGAGGGTCGTGCTCAGGGCCGGTGGAAGGTGAGCCCAGATTGGGCGGTCATTGGGACGAAGCGGACGGCTGGCGGCAGGTTGGTGCCATTGCGTAGTAATGGTGAGGGCGGGCTGGAAAGTGGCAAGGTCCCGGAGCATCGTGCCAAGAAGTGTGCCGTCTGCGGCAGGTGGGTGTATGCGGAAGGCGAGGGGGTGGTCAGTAAGCCCGCTATCCAGTTGGTAGGCCTCGAGTGATTCCATGAGGAGGTCACGTGTAGGGGAGCCTCAGTCGTTGGCAATACGGAGGAAGTGGTATAAGCGTTGGCTGTGGCTGAAACGTTCACAGTGGACCAGTCCCAGTCCATCGGTTGGGTTATAGAACCACTCTGTGGGGTGGTCGTGGGGTAGCTTGAGGACCCGGCGCGCCGTCTTACGGAATAGGGTGTCAAGGGCTGGTGCGATGCTGATGGCATCACTGATGGCCGTTCGGTAGAGATGCGTGCTCGGTCTTGTATGCCAGCATAGGTGGTCGCAATGTCGAGGGCGTCATCCACGAATAAGAGGCTGGAGATGGTGCGAGTTTGGGCACCCTGAGGGTGTTGGCTGTGCACAATGCGGACAGGGTCAAGGCCACTGTGTTGCTGGCGTAGGAGGACGTCCATATAGTATCCAATATGCATGGCCGCTAGGATAGAACCTTGGCCCAGTCCGAATTCCCGGATGCCGCCATCGAGCCAGCCAAAAGCCGTGCGGATATCGAGTTGGCGCGGTATGGGGGGGACACCGAGTTTACGGTAGATGTATTCCATGACCCAGCCCGGGATGCGGTCGAAGCATTTGAGGCAATCCTTAGAAATAAGGAATAGTTCTTCCTGTCGGCGTTCGGCGCGTTCGATAAGGAGTGAGGTAAGGACAGCGGCGTCCTGAACCGTGCGATCGCGCTGGAAGCCGTGTTGCATTTCGTGGTTGGGGATACAGGGGGTGATGTAGTCCCGTATAACGGTAAAGATTCGACTGCTGAGAGCACTTTGAACCGTGATGGGGCGC